AAAAAACAAAAATATCGCAAAACAAAAAAACAAAGACTCTTTCTGGGTATTGCATTGACCTCCCCTCTTGTTTTGAGAAAATATAGAAAATTCCACAATTTTAACATAATTACTTTGGATTCTCTTAAAGTTTTAATTCACATAACACAACTTAGTTTTCATACATGAACTTTTCTCACAAGAAAAATGAATTAAATAAAAGAAACAAAAGTAATAAATGATTTATTTTTCTATTAATCATTTTGGGATCATCGAAAGTGCAAACCACATGGCCTCTAAATCTCTTGTGCAAATGTAGTATGTTGTATTACACTTTCATTTTAATCTTACCTCTCATAGGTAAAGTTAGGTACTAAATAAATGGGAAGAGCTAGTCATGTGATCGGAGGCACCGGAATCTATGATCCACGGAGAGAATTTTAGGCAAGAGAAGGCTTTAGGATTTCTATCTGTTTGTGCCAACAAAACACTAGGAGTATCGGATGAGGAGTTGGATTTTATCGGCTTTAAGAGTTGATCAATCTGCTGTTTGTTGAAGGGACCTGAATTGGCTTCATTAGCGGTAGGAAAGCCACGATTCTTCTCTCCTTGTTTGCTTCTTTTCCAGTTGACAGGTTTGTCATGGATCTTCCAACACGTTTCGTGTGTATGGCGAGGCTTGTTGCAAAAATCACACCAGACCCGTGGCTTATCATCAAGCCTGCGCTGGTAATTTGCAGCCTTGTTGGCCGCAGCATTGCTAATTAAAGCAGAAATTTCAATTGATTCACCATTACCTTTTTTCTTAAGCATGACGCTCCTTCGGTTCTCTTCCCTTCTGACTTCGGCAAATACTTCGCCAATGGATGGGAGAGGAGGTCTGCCAATAATTCTTCCTCGCACTTCATCGAACTCAATGTTGAGGCCGGCAAGAAACTTGTAAATACGGCTGTCTTCCACAGTTTTCTTGTGGTGGTTGCAGTCGTCAACCGATTTCCATTCGTATGTGTTGAAGATGTCAAGATCCTGCCACAACCTTTTCAACGAATTGAAATATTTGGTGACGGAATCATCTCCTTGACGAATCTCTCCCAACTTCAAAGTTAATTCGAAAACTTGAGATTGATTTCCTAGGTCAGAATATATCTGACTAACATTATCCCACAATTCTTGTGCAGTAGTATAGCACATGTAATTAGAGCTTATATCCTCCTCCGTGGAATTGACCAACCATGTCATAACCATGGAGTTTTCAGCGTCCCAACTGTCGAACAGGGGATCATTAACAGCAGGAGCCTTCTTGTCACCAGTGGTGTAACCGATCTTTCCTTGCCCACGGATATACATCTGGACAGATTGTGACCAGCGGAGAAAATTATCACCATTTTGGCGGATGGTGGTGATTTGGACAGAGTGAGAGTTGGACGTTTTCACCGGAATGGCAGCGGCAGGGGTTGAAGTGGTTTCGGACGTGACTTCCGACATGGCTATGACGGTTTTAGGGCTGCTGTGTTTTTTGTTGCTCTGATACCAACTTAGAAAATATGAGGAAGAAGAACTCCGAAAATATGAGGAAGAAGGAATATATTTCTGTTATATTCAAAACTCCTTATATAGGAGATATTACAAACATCATTATTACCCATTATATGCCACTTACATATTATATATTACCACTATCTACCACTATCATATTCTATACATGCCACTATCTTCCACCAACACCACTATCATATTATATACATGCCACTATCTTATTATATACATTAACATAAATGCACCAAAAACCAATCTTTTTTTCCTTCTCTTCCCCACTCTAGCCCCCTTCCCAAATTCAATAAAATCCAACACATTCCTAGGGAATTCGCACACTAAACCATAGCCAATTATTAAGGAGACAATTGAAAATTCCCCATCTTGCTTGCACATATAACATCACTCAAAATGAATTAGCCACCTCCTAATCAAGTTATGAATGGCAACTATTTTTATGCGCACTTCTATCCATACAAGATGAAGCTTTGGAAACCCAAACTCCTTTCTAAGGAAAGGACAAACCTTTATGAACTCAAAGCCTTCGGAGTTAAATCTTGTTCACCACAGAACATCCTCTCCCTCTCCTATATGTGGAATAGCATACAAAATACCATGAAGATTCCCCAACTCCTTCGCCTCCCAATCATTCAACTCTCAATGAAAAGCAATATCTTCAAAAACTTGAGTGCCTTCCTCTTCAAGATATTCTCTGACTACTTCCCTATTAACCAAAATATGAGCAAGAATAGAGAAATGCTCTTCCAGCTTGTCCTCTTCACACCAAAGATGACTCCAAAAGCAAACTCTTCACCATTCCCAACAACAAATATGACTTGGAAAATCTTTTTGAAGTGTCGTTCCATATGCCATAGCCAAAAAGTATGGACACAAACATGGACACGTGACCTGACACAAACACTCCAACATGGAAATTTTAAAAAAATGTCAGAGATGACATATGAGCGACACGTACAAAATATATAATTTTATATATTACTTATATGTCATATGTAGGGATAGATGATTATTATATGTCAGATATGAATATTTAATTCAAAGATAATAAATTTTAAAATTTGAAGGAGGAAAGTAAGTATAAATTTAAATTATTTTTCTTTTCTCATTTGATACCAAGTAAGTTTATTCAAACTTGTAAATGTGTGAAGTGTTGGGAAGTGTCCAATGAGTGTCGTGTCAATGTGAGACACGTTGTTGGACCTGACACATTACCTTCTTAGAATGTCCATGGTTTTTTGAGACATAGAAATCTCCATCGAAGACCAATCCCCCTCATACTTCCATATTTTGATTTCACCACCAATTAAAACTGATACAGTAAAAGAGCAGAATAAGAGAACGAGAAGATAGAATGTATGGCTATTGTGAGAGACCCAAAAAGTAGGGTTGCCTCTCATTAACACTTGTATTTATATTAAAAGGGTTAATTACACGCACCTTGCTTGAGGTTTCTGGCAATTACAAGGTTGTCCCCTGAACCCAATTGTAGAGGTCAACCCACTAGTGAGGGAAACATAGAGGGATAGAAGGCAGAGAGAGAAAGAGAAACATCCCCATTGGCTACCCAGTGGAACACATTGCAACTCGCTATTGCTACCACCCAATAACCGAACCACCATATTCCATCATCACTGCAATCTGTCATAACCCCCACTACGAACCCCCATAACCACTAACTACGACTTGTAATGCCCAATCTTCCAAACATAGAAATAATTTGAAGCACAGTGCAAGCTATATGTATTCCTACATACATACATTCAACTACAAAGACCCATTCCCAATCCAATAGGGAAAACATCTTTCAAGAAAGATGAATTGATGAAGAAAGAGCAAAATCTACATGTAGAAATCAACCTAAAAACCAAAAACCACCAGTTATGAATCCCACCATTAGGGATGGCAATTTGAACCTGGCTTGGCAGGGACCCAACTCCCCAAACCCCGATTTGAGCGGTTTTTCCTCGAAAAATATCCCCGCGGGACGGGGATGGTATTTAAAAATCAATCTCCAATTAGTTTCAGGCCGGGGGCGGGGATAAGTGTCCCAACTCCGTACTCGTCCTGTCCCCGTCCCCATCCTTGTTTGTTCCCGAAGTGAAATTACTAGTTTACCGCTATATATATATACATATGTAAACCAAACCCTCATCCTCATCCTCATCTCACCGCTTCTCCCCGAAATAAAATTACTACTTTACCCCCGTATATATATATATGTATACGCGTCTTTATCTTGGCAGAGCCACAGCCACTTCGCTGCTGAGTGAGAAAAATAGAGTGAGAGGGAGCTGAGAGAGAAAAATGGAGTGAGAGGGAGGGAAGGAGGGAGAGAGAGAGAGCCGATCTCCTCCGACGAGAGAAGAAAGTCGTCCTCTTGACAGCGCCGATCTCCGATCTACCTACTCCTTCGCCGATCTCCTCCTCCGCCCTCCTTCGATGATCTCATCCGCCGCCCTCCTCCGCCGATCTCTTCTTCACAGTGTCGCCGATCTCTATCCTCCTCTCTTTCTGTGTTATACACACATTATATATGTATACATATTATAGATTGAAGCTTAGATGCTGATCTATATCTCCCTCTCTTTCTGTGTTATACACACATATATATGTATACATATTATAGATCTGTTGGTTTTTTTTTCTCTGTTCTGTTTTTTTTTTTTTTTTTTTTTATGTTGTTGATGATGATACATGATGATGATGATGATCTATTGGTGTTCATCTCTCTGTTTGTATGTTGATCTTATTTTTTTTGATCCTCCAGCTTCAAAGCAGTTTTTCAAAAAAAAAAAAAAAAAAAAGCTCGGGGATTTTTCGGGGGCGGGGAAACCCGATCCCCTTTAGGGGGAGGGGATGGGGATGGGGATGGTGGTAGGTTCCCCGTTGGAGATCAGGGCCAGGGAGATTTTCACAATTGGGGACGGGGAGTGTGATCCCTGGCCCCGGCCCGTTGCCATTCCTACCCACCATAGACTATAATTCCTTAACTGATTGCATTTACATGCTTAAGGGTTTCATTTTTTTAGATGAAGGATGCAACCAACAATTATCATCACTTTAATTTCACCATTGCAATTTAAGGACCCAAACCCTTAAAACCCACATGTTCTTGTGGAAATATATTTAAGAGAAAAGAAGTGGGAGTATACATGAAGGGACCAACCTCCCTTTCTCTTTCTCTATCATGAGTTGTTGATGTAAAATGTTAGCTTTCTCATTATCTTCCATGTAGGCACTGGTCATTTTTATACGTCACTTTATTTAACTGCTATTTCTTATCGAGAGAGCTAGTTGGCATGTAGAAAAAATTCGTATGTTTTTCCACTTCAATGACTTGTGGGGCTTGTCATCTTTTTGTACACTATTATTTACATTCCTTTTAATGGATAAGTAAAATTATTTACATCCTGTTTCAAATTCAGTGAGCCTATTGGTTATAAAGATGAAGTTCATATGGTTCATCCACTTTATAAACTTGCACTACTGCACTACTCATATGAAATCAATACCCTTGTTTTCTGCAATTTTAATTCTTGTATTTCTGTTTTTATAGGTTTATGGTTCTAACAAGGCTTCCCTATGATCCTTGCGTGCTTTATACACTGGTATGATGCTTGCTGCAAGATCTTTCGGTTATAATTACATGAATTCATTATTTGTCTTTCATTTATAAAAGAGTCATTATTTATGCCTTTTCTTGTTGCACTTGTTTTCCACGTGCTGTTTTATTTTGAACTGACAATAGTCAGGAATTGGTTTCCACTTACTGGGATTGGCTTAGAATCATGTTCATTGATTTTGTTATTTAGTTTATTGGTTGCTGTTTTTAGGATTGAGGAAAATTTTGATCCCAGTGGAACCACCAATTTTCAAAGAATTCTTCTTAAGAATGCCCATATAAATGAAGTACTTCTACAAGCATTAACGATTCTTTTCTCAAAAAATTCCACAAAGACTTTCATCAAATCAGATTTAGCATCTCAACAATTTCAAAAAACTGCCATAGAAAGTCCATCTGGCTTCGAAGACTTGTGTCTTTCACACTCAAAGGCTGCCACTCTAAATTCCATCTTGTCAAAAGTTCTTTCCAACCAATTAGTTTTATTGCTATCCTTAAATGGAGACCATTCCAAACCTTCAGGGACAATTTGAGGTGTTCAAATAATTTATCAACAGTATTAGCGTCAATCCTCCACACGGATAAGATCAACAGTACAAACCGATCATGCACTTGCCTTAAATCTATATGAGTATGTGGCTTAGCTTAGGAGCCAATCGCAATGCTCACACTCACCACAAAAATCACCAAGGGATTTGTAAAGCTTAAAAGAATTACCAAGAAACTCAAGATATGTATGTATGCAGATTATAAGCTAAAACTCACTTAAGCTCTCTCTCTCTCTCTCTCTCTCTCTCTTATGCATATATGTTCTAACATAGAAGACGAAGCATCTATATGTCGGAAAGGAGAACCAAAAGGATATAGAAAACCAAAATCACAAGATTTTGATTCAGGTACATTAATACTAGGTCATACCGACAGCACATTCCAATGGAGAAGCCTCGCATTCTAACATAGATCCTACTATAATCCAACTTTACTTTTCCATTGAATAGTGCGTTCAAACAAATCAAGCTTGCAATTGGACAAGCATTCTATTGACTTAAATAAACTGTTCCAATCGATGCTTATAATCTGTGTTCAAATGCTCAAGGAACCACATTCTATCTTGCACAACCTTTGTGTTCTACAATGTCGCACTTCGGAAATAATGCACACAGGCTTTGCATTTCTATTATGTGCACTTCAGTGATGAGCATTATAGGTATGAAATGCACTCATGCATTTACATAGACACATTTAGTGGGTTGAGTGTTATAGCTGTTCACAACCAAAATCCCATCCTAGTTGGATTAAGGCATGACCAGCCAATAACCATAGACTACCGAGGCCTACCTATACCAAGTGAAAGGTGCATTTGAAATATATGAAATTTATTGAAAATGTATGTTTAGTGGACATTTGATTTTTGTTAATGAGATCTTCTTGGTATTGTTATGATAGTGGTTAGCTTTCAGTTTTGGCATAGGCATTACTTTTGTGGTTTTGTGAATAAACATTGGACGTGAATGGTTGTGGACTTTCTGTGCAGAGCTGTCGTGATGGGAGTTGGATCAGGACTGCAAATCATCTTTCACAAATACCCCTTCTACTAGAGTCAGAGGATGTAAAAGATGTTAATCAAATTCTATCCGTTCTATTTATGTCAGTCTCTACCAATTTCAGTGTGTTTATTAAGCAAGTTGCTGAAGCCAAAGGGAAGGACGGGCATGTTCATTCAAGCAAAAGGAAGAGGAAAAGGCTTACTACCCAGGTGTCATTTATCTTCTGCTACATATGCTTCCTGTTACTCACCTGTTAAAATTGAAACTTCTTTCCCTTCTCCCTTGTTCTCTCTGACCTCTCCCATTTTATCTGAAGATTATCTTATAATTTAGCTTCTTGTTTTTGGGTTTCAGTGCCAGTTATTAATGCAATTACGGGAGACAGAATTGCATAAGCGAGTCAGCAAATGGATGGATTCTAGGAATCCTTTGCTTGAGATTGCAGCAAATGTGTCTTCAGATGGGGTCAAGCATTCAACATTGAACCCTGGTTCTTCTGGTCGGTTATCCTCTACAGATTCAGTGGGTTCTTCAAAAGGCAATTATGAAAGAGTCTCTGTTGAAATGAGTGAGCCAGTTATCTGCAGCAGGGAGCAAGGGCCTGGTAAAATGATCCAAACTATTGATCCAAGTCCGAGTGGCTGCAGTGTAAACAATGGCCATTTTATTTGCAAAGATGCTCTAACGATGTTGTTGTTGGCCCTGCCCTCTCATATGTGGTCTGGAATTAAGGAACCAAACCTATCTGCAGAGTTTAACAGCCTTGTATCAATTGAGAGTGTTCCTCACATACTCAAGAAAGAGGTAACAGTTCTTCCTTTTCTTGTGTCTTACTTTCTTTGATATTATATCTCACTTGCATTAATTGGTTCCTTACTGTGTTCTATTATGTCTATGCTGGAATAACAAAGAATCTCCAACATTGTGGGGTTGCTTGAATCTTCAAATATTTACAAATGAGGTCTAGTATTTCCAACATACATCCTCGACCTGATCCTTTAACTAGGAAGAATGGATATGGATACGATATGAATGCGGCGATACGACAAAATTTTAAAAAATAGGATATGGATACGGCTAGGATATGTTTTTAAAAAAAATATTTTAAAAAAATTATTAGTAGTCAGTTATGCATGAGCTCAAGAATGTTGAGAAACCATATTGTAATTAAATAATACAAAATACTAATCTTTAATAATTAGGTATTAATTTAAGTTGGTAGCTAGTTTACTGCTTTTAACTTTTAATAGGTCTTACAAATATTTCATTTCAATATCAAGTCTAATATGTTTATATTATAATAATAGAAGAATGATATTTAATTTTATTTTATTTTCTAATTGACGTGCATGACACAATAAGAATAAGTCAATTTGACAAATTAAATTACTTTAATTCACTATGTTCTTATCAAAGAACTAAGCAAAGTATTAATTTTTTTTTTTTTTTGTATTTATCCTCACAATTATATTATATTATAATGCTATGCAATAAACGCTACAATTCTAATTTTGTGAAAGTAATACGGGATTTGGAGTATCCGATTCTTCAAAATTAATTAAGAAGTATTCGATACTTTTAGTAAGTATCCAATACTTTTAGTGATCCGGACATGTGTCCGTGGATGTTAGTAGTTGATCATTATCTTGTTTACATCCTTTCTTACTTTATATTTGAGTTATAGGATGTGCTGGGCAGGTTTGTGACAGGTTGGTTGAACTTGGAAACCAAGAGTAGTTGCCCAGATTTTGGCCTTCACGCTCGAGCGGGGATTTTGATGCTCGAGCGGGCCCTTCGTTGTTGTCTGTCCGCTCGAGCGTAGTTTTCCATCTTCCAGTATCTCCTCTGCAGAGTTGTACGCTCGAGCGAGAGTTTTGACGCTCGAGCGGGATGTTGTGTGTGACGCTCGAGCGGGAGGGTTGACGCTCGAGCGGAGGCCCGGTTCTGTAAAAGTTCTAGGAGTGTGTATCCGCCGCTCGAGCGGGAATCTGTGAGTGACGCTCGAGCGGGGCGTTTGACGCTCGAGCGGGGCGACTGGGTTAAAGTTCCGAGTTTTGACTTTTCAAATCACTTTTTCACTTTCTCTTCTCTCTCTTACTTTTCCAAAAACACCATTGTTGAGCCTCTCACTCTAGAACTCTACCTTCTCTCTAGGTTTTGATCTAGTAGGAGTGATATGCTCATCTTTGGCCTTTACAAAAAAGTTGTTGATCGTCGAGGGCTACATTTTAATATGAAAATTTCAGGATTTGGAGCACGTTGGGTTTTGTCATCTTCTCCCTTGGGACTCCGGATTTGAGGTAGGGATATCCTACTCCTCTCTATGGATTTTGTCTTTAAATTTTAGTATTTTGAGATGTTGGGGTTGGTTTGGTAATTTTGTGAAAGTTTGGGGCTTTTGTGTTATTTTTCAAAAGTTGGGGTTTTATTTATAATAAACCTAGATGCATGTTTGGCATAGAGTAATGGAATAAATGTTGAATCATTGATGAAAATGGGACCTAAGGGTTGTAATGTTAATTATGGAAAATGCCCTAATTACATTGATTGATTAATTCGTATACCTAATTGTTGAAAATGAGGAATTGAATTGAGAATGCGGGAACTGAAAAGGGAAGGGGTTAAAGAGTGTAGTTGGATTATTTATCGCTCACCTAGTTGAAATGTTGATTATATATCCATTGTTGCATTTATTTTTTGTACAGAAATAACTGCTTTGGGCTATCGGTGGAGGATAGTCGTGATTGTTATAGACAATGCATGATGATTAGGCAAACTGAAACTAATCACTGGAATGTGTCATTGAGATTGACGATTGAAAGAATACATTAAATTTATGTATTGTGTGATGATGTGTATAATTATTGTTTATATGCATTGTGTTGTGATTGGAGGAGATAGGGGATGTACTCCAAGGTTTAGGGGAAGATAGGGGATAGACCTCTAAACCGGATGTGTTGGGAGGAGATAGGGGATGAACTCCATAGATAGAGCTCATATGCTTATCTATTAATGTGTTGACAGAGCTCATATGCTTGTCATTGGAAGTGTGATAGTGCTCATATGCATATCTGTGGAAATGATGATATAGCCTGTATGCTTATCTATTGTTGTGTGATACAGCTAGTATGCTTATCTATTATGAAATGGGAAGTGTTTGATATGAGTTACCGTCTCATATGAGTTGTTTGGCCAGGTTCTGAGCCATGGTTGTAAATTGAGAATTTAAAGAAATTGGAAAATAGACTGTAATATGGACTTGTAGGTCATGAAACCGTAAAGTGTGATAAGGGAAAGTATCTGTGTTGGCCATCTATCAATTGCTAATCTTTTAGTCATTGTTCATATTTGGTTTAGTGTATTTCTACTGGGCTGTGGCTCACCCTATATGGGAATATCATTTTCAGGTACAGGTAGCATGTCACCTCCAAGGACGTAGCTTGGGAGGCTATTGGCGGACACACTTTTATTGTCTTATTTTGATGTATTACATGTATATTCAAGCCAAGGGCTTAATGTGTAAATGAGTTAGCACTCTTTTGTTGTAATCAAGTGTTAACTTGGAAAGGTGTAAGCCTCTAGGGCATCTGCTTTTATTGTTAACATGTAATACGTTTTGTAATGAAACTCTGATTAATGGAAGAATGTGGAACTTTTGTAAATCAATGCATGTCTATATTAATGGGTTTTATGTTATTTTTTTTGAGGGCGTGACAGCATATGTATCTCATATTCATATATATGATGAAAATTTAAATACCAAGTTTATGATGGTGTTGCTACCAAAAGTGGTGATTCAATCTAAAGCAATCTTTCTCTTCTCACCCTACCCCTCACACTTTGCCAGTTGACTCCTTTTTCACCCTTGATGTGTTGATCACTTTGGTTGATTTCGACACTGTTCAAGAAAATTGGGATGCTCACAACACAACAAAGCTCCAAGTTTTAATCTGGATAAATTACATTGATCTCCTTAGAAGTTTAGTGAAATTGTAGAAATCTCTTTCGAGGTTTCTAAAATGACATAAACCTCTCTTAATGTTTAATTTTCAAACTAACCTCCTCTAAGATTTACTGAAATTGCTAAAATGACAAAAACCCTATTGAGGTTTAATTTTCAATTACACTAACCTCCTCTGAGATTTTAATGAAATTGCTTAAATGATAGAAACCCATTGAGGTTTAGTTTTCAATTACACTAACCTCCCCTGAGGTTTAATAAAATAGTAAAAATCTCTTTCAAGGTTTCGTTTCTAAAATGGCAACAACCTTTCCCAATGTTTAGTTTTTTATTACAAATTCCCCTCTTTGTTACTTTATGGTAAATTGAATAATATAAATTGTATCAACAAATAATTTAATTACATTTTCAATTTTATCAATTAAAATTGTGTCCAATTAGCCACCAACCAACCCCTCTTATACAAAAATTTCTTTAACACAATGACCAATTTTCTCCCTTTATGTATAAATAAACACAGATGTGTATATTAAAAACACACCCAAATGTATATATAAACACATAGAAACACAATTCGACCAACCAATTGAAATGCAAAGTTGAAACTAAACAATTCAACAATTGTAGAACCCACCAATGCATTGTAGAAAATTGAGGTAGATGGTGTTGCGGTGAATGAGATGTCATGGGTTGGAATGGCTATATATCGTGTGAGATTGGAATAAGATGGTGGTTGGTAGTGGTTCTAGTGGTGACTAGAGGAAAAAAAATGGGATTGCGCTTGTGGTTTGGGATTGTAGGGGTGGATGTTTGCACTTGCCGTAAAGAAAAACAAATGGTTCATGATACCAACTCCAATAAGATTGAGAGACAGACAGACGGGGGTTGAGATTGAAGATGAGATGATATAATTGTGTTATGTCCATAGTAAGAGAAGTGTTTTATTTTGGATTTTTAATAGTATTTTTTATAGAGGGTATTTTTGTCATTTCAGTGGCAATGTTAACATCATTGTACGCAATTTGGAGGCCCATGTAATTACAAAAATTACAAGAGAGGTTTGTGTAATTATCAGATACCTCAGAGTGGTCTATGTAATTAGCCTATAAATAAATAAAATAGAATTTTATTTTTGTAATATGTTGATAAATAAATTTAAAATGCAAGTAACAGTTATTATTTTATATATTAATTTCCATGTTGATTATGGGATTATGGATGGAGTTTTAAGATGGGTTTGGCTTCTTTCATGTTCATCATAGATTTTGTTTCGATAATTTGAATCATTCACTTTTTAGTACTCGTTAAGTAGAATACTAATATAAAAAATTAAGATGATCGGGAGCAGAATCTATGGTGGGCTATACGGATCTCTCAAGTTCTTTCATGTTGAGATACCAATACGAGAGCCCAACCCTAAAACAAGTATGATTCAAATATATAGCTAGCGATATCCAATTATCTTGATTTTTTACATGAATATTCTATTCACTACAACATATAGGAGTTTTGGAGACCAAATGTTTTGGTCTTTGAAAGTGAAAATTTTGTTGCAAAAGACATTTAGGGACCAATTTCCATCATCATGAGGATAGTCGTTAAAAGGTCGTTCTAAAAAGTCAAAAATAAGGCTTTCAACAATAAAATTTTGAAAATATCACTAATAAATAAACTTTCAGAGACAAAATAATTTGGTCTCAAAATGATTTATTTTTTGAGATAAAAAATTTGGTCCCAAAAGAATAATAATTCATCACTAATGTTCAATTTTTATTTCTAAAAATATAATAACGACACTTTTCACCACAAAATATTTAGTCCATAAATTTTGGTCTCTAAAATTTTAATTTTTTGTAGTGACTCTTTGAATTCAAAAAAAGTGGATGGTTCGGATTATCGGAATTGATTCCAAAATGGGCCTGCAAACTCTTTTAAAATATAATTAAACTCTTTTAAAATATAATTTGAGAAAAACCAAACTCTT